CTTGGCCTGCTGCGTTCATCCAGCTCTACATCTTGTTAGCTCAGATTCTCCAGCATTGGCAGTTCCTACTATCTCTGACTAGACATAATGATTTGTTTGGTTCCCTTACCACTAGGCTTTGCTTGCAGTCTTTCTCCTGCTCATATTTTGTGACTGCAAAGTATTATTGACGGGATGCTTTACATCAACTTGCAAGCTTAGTTTAATAGAAATCCCGCCCCGTATTCAATTATCAAAAGAAAGCAAAAGTTGAATGTTAATGGGAATGCCATAGGCAATAAAGAAAACATGTTTGTCATTCAAGTCCAAGCACATTTCTCGCAACACAATGCATTACCATGTGACTGGATGACATACATAGCTGCTGAATAATGCAGCAATGAACAGGAAAAGACTTGTATTCATAAACAGCCTTTCAAAACCGTCAATCTCCCTAAGTGGTTTAAGTCAATTAAGTACTTGTGAGGTGTTGCTACTATTATAATGTAGGCAGTGAATTTGTGTACAATAAATTCTCATAAACAGTGACATGATGATATCCAAAAAATTGCTTTTTTTTTGCGTGTGTGATGTTGATGGAGGGATAAATAATGACCAGAAATCTGAGTATAACACCCTTGTTTTTCTTTGAAAGAGTACTATTGTATCTGTTGCATTCACCTGAGAAAGCCTTGGTTTAATACCTCAAAGATGGCACCTCTGATAGTGCAACACTGCCTGAATGGTGCACTGGAGTGTCAACATAGATTGTTTTCAAAACCTGGCACCCTTGTCCTCTTAACCTTGTGGGTCATTACTAAGTGTTCGGCAGGTATGTATCTAGTAGATAATAATTTAGAAGATAATAAAATGACCACAATGACACAACTTTATAATTCACTGACTGTGGTAGAGAGAGAATTATTTTTATACCCCTGTTTTGGGCATTGTATATGGTTTCTGTTAATTGATATTCTGTAGTTAACAGATGTGAACTTCCTCTGGTAAATGTTTTCCTTTCTTTGTCTCATTGTAACTGACAGACTATAAAATCCACTTTTCAAATTTCTGGACAACAAAAGTGTGTGTGTCTATGTGTTACTATTTCTGTTCCATTTCAGGATAAATTTTAAGTTGTATTTCCAGAGCCATTGTTAGGATATTTTACTCATCAGATTGCAATTAAAATATATATTTGTTAAAGCTTGCAGATCGTACTGAATCCAGAAGTTCCATTTTACTGCTTGAACACATGTAATTTTATTTTGGAAACATAGGAACAGGTATAGGGTGTTCAATCTCTCAAGTTTTTCCTGTCATTAAATACAACCGTGGTGGATTGAATGCTTCAATGGCTTTTACCCACCCCATCCCCTAATCCTGTTAGCCACCGGTATCTATCTGTCTCTATAAATCCATGTTTACTTCAAACATACTCAAAGGCTGAGCTTTCACAGCTCTCTGTGGTAGATAAATAAAAACATTTCTCCTCACCTTGGACCTAAGTGGTGGGAAGAATGTTTCTGATATTGGGCAAGCCCAGAACAAGAGGTAAGTCATTCAGGACTGAGATGAGGAAGAATTTCTTCACTCAATTGTGAGCCTGTGGAATTCTCTCCAGAATTCTCAGAAAGCTGTTGGGTCCAGTTCATTATATACATTCAAGAGGGAACTGGACGTGGCCCTTGTGGCTAAAGAGATCGAGAAATATGGAGAGAAAGCAGGAATGGGATACTGAAATTGCATGATCATGTTGAACGGTGGTGCAGGCTCAAAGGGCTTAATGACCCATTCCTGTACCTATTATCTATGTTTCTTTGTTTCTGACCGGCTTATTTTTAAATTGTGCCCCTTGGTTCTGGACTCCACAACCATTGGAAACATCTTACCTGTATCTATACTGGCTATCTTTTTTCAATTAAATCTCGTTTTGAGGTCCAGTTTGCCCAATCTCTCTTCATAGGCAGTATCACCATCCCGGGTACAAGTCTGGTGAATTTTCATTACACTCCCAATATGACAATAATATCCCTGCTGAGATGAGACACTATCTACATGCAGTACTCCAGATATTGTCTAACCAAACTCCTACACGATTGAAATGAGACTTCACTACCTCTGTACGCCAATCCTGTTGTAGTAAAAGCTAACATTCTGTTAGCCTTCCTAGCTGCTTGCTGCACCTGCATTTTTCCTTCAGTGACTTAACAACAAAGACACTTAGCTCCCTTTGTACATCTCTACTTTTGAATTTTCTTACCGTATAAGAGAGACTCTGCACACTTCTTTCTCCAACCAAAATGGATCACTTTGCAGTATATTCTACCTGCCATGTTATTGCCCATTTACCAAGCCTGTCTCATCTTCAATAAGCCATTTTACACTTTCCTCACAACACACATTCCCACTTAGGTTTGTATCATCTGCAAATTTGGACAAATATTTGATCTCCAAATCCAAATCATCAATTATATATTGTGAACGCTGGGGTCCATAATGCATTTAGTACCTCATTAGTCACAGCCTGCCAATGTCACAATGACCTGTTTACTGTTAGCCAATCTTTAATCCACACAAGTACATTATTCCTATCACACGTGCTTTAATTTTTCTAACCAGCTTCCTATGGAGGAACTTTATCAAACTTTAGAAAAACTTTTATCAAAACTTTATCAAAAACCTTTAAAAAAAAATCAAAGTATACTTGGCTGTCCTTTATCTGTATTGTTAGTAACATTTTCAAAAAAAAAACCTCCAAGTTTGTTAAACATATTTTACTATTCACAAATTCATGCTGACTATGCCCAATCAGATCATTGACAACCAGGTGTCTATTTATCACATCCTTTATAATAGATTCTAGTATTTTGTCTGCTCCTGATGTAAGATTAACAAATATATAGATCCCTGTTTTCTCTCTCGGTCTCTTAAATAATGGGGGTGACATTTGCTACTTCCAGATCAGCAGGAGTCATTCCAGAATCTACAGAATTTTGGAAGATAATCACCAAGGCATTGACTATTTGTGTAGCTAAATCCTTTCACATTCTGAGATGTTATCCATTGAGTCCTGAGGATTTATCAACTTTCAGCTCCATTATTTTTTTCCAGTACATTCTACTTGCAAATACAGATTTTCCTTCATCTCGTTCTCCCTATCCACTCGGATCTTTAGTTCTGGAAGATTTATTATCTTCTTTATTTAGCTTCTGTGGCATTTCTCTACTCTCAATTATAAGTTTCCCTGACTCTGCCTGTAATTGACACACATTTGTTTTAACCAAATGTTTCCTTTTTATTACTTATAGAAGCTTTAACACTCTCTTTTTCAGCTAAATTGCATTCATATTCTACTCTCCCTTCTCACTTTGTTGGTCCTCCTTTCTTGTATCTTATGAACCTCTCAATCCTCAGAATTACTGCTATTGTGGCAATTTCTAGGCCTTTTAATCTTGTATAATCCTGAATTTAATTTATTACCCACAATTTCCTGACCTTTGAGTTTTTGCACCTTGAAGGAATGTATAGTTGCTATAAGTAATGTCATAGTTCTTTAAAGACTGTTGTGAACTGTCTATGTACAATCATGCATTTTAATATATTTTCCCAAACCACCTCAGTCAATTTGTACTTCATGTCTTCAATTATCCCTTACTCAAATTAAACAATATTGCTTCAGAACGAACTACCTCACTTTCAACCATTGTGTAAAATTCTAACACATTGTGGTCACGCATAGAGTAATACAGCATGAGGTCCAACTCATCCATGTCGACCAAGTTTCCCAAACTAAACTAGTCTCACTTGCCTGCACTTGGTTCATATCCCTTTAAATCTTTCCTATTCATGTACCTATCCAAATGTCTTTTAACTGTTGTAACTGTACCTGCATTGACCATTTCCTCTAACAGTTCATTCCACACATGAAGCACCCTCTGTGTGAAAAAGTTGCCGCTCAAGTCCCTTTTAAAACTTTCTCTTCATGCTTTAAAAATATGCCCCTAGTTTTGAACTCCCCCACCCGAGGGAAAAGACATTTGCTATTCACCTTATTTGTGCCCCCCATGATTTCATAAACGCCATAAGGTCACCCCTCAACCTCCTAGGGTCCAGTGGAAAAAGTCCTAGCCTATCCAGCCCATCCTTACAACACAAACGCTCCATTTCTGGCACCATCCTTGTAAATCTTATCTGAATCCTCTGCAATTTAATAATATCTGTCCTACAGCAAGGTGACTAGAACTGTACACAGTACTCCAAACGTGGCCTCACCAATGTCCTGTACAAACTCAACATGATGTCCCAAATCCTATACTCAGTGGTCTGAGTAATGAAGGCAAGCATGCTAAAAGGCTTCTTAACCACCCTGTCTATCTGTGATGCAACTTTCAATTAACTGTGTACTTGAACTCCTACGTCTCTCCGTTCGACAACACTCCCCAAGGCTTACAACAAGTTTATAAATCAGCCCTTAAAATGATATAATGCAAAGTTAAAATAGCATGTCCTTTAGTTTGCTTCTCAACATGCTGCTCCAGGAAATCATATCTAACATGCTGTGGAAACTCATCCTTCGCAATTTTGGTGCTCAGTTGATTTTCTCAGATATATATGCAGATTAAAGTCACCCACAATAACTCTGCAGCACAATTCTGCATGCTTCTCTCATCTGATTAATAGCATGCCCCACACTACCACTACTGTTGGTGGCCTGTAAATAACTTTCTAACCAATGTCTGCTGTCCCTTGTTGCTCCTTACTTGCACCCAAAAGATTCCACACACTGTTCTTCTGATCTGAGATCCTCCCTTACTAATGTAATCCCTTATCAGTGCAGTTCCACCTCCTCTTTCCTTCTTATCTGTTCTTCCTAAATGTTGTCATTTCATTAATTTCTGTAATTTATCCTATGTTCAAGCAATAACAGCACTATCAATTATGTTGTTCTTAGTGTGGACAGCTTTAGTAAATTATGCATAACTTGATCAACTTTTTTTTAGTGACATTTGTTTTCTTCTTGTCATAACCCTTGGCTTAAACTTTTCTTGAATAATGCAGTTTTTAAAAATTGGAGTACACACCAGAATGCAGAACAGGTATGGTTTCTGACGGGACAATTGGTGGGATGGTGATGTGATATTGAGCTATCCAATACTTACCCTTTGGGAGCTTGTTCAAGAGCAGTAATCCGAATGTAGCAACTGTGGAGAGTATTTCGGAATTTGTTTATTACTGTAATATAATTTAAATAAAGAGATCTGCGGGAAAGTGCATTTAATATAATCTATACGTTCATGATTTTTGTGTGTCAAAATTAAAATTGTGTTCAGTACCAATAATTAATGTTTGTTGTTTTGTTTTAAATAGCACCCAAGCAGGAAAGAAGATCGTCACTTTGTGTTATACAAACCACCACCTCCGGATGGCACACCAGCTCTGGTGGAAGAATTTCTGGAGCGTGCAAATTTCATTGCTAATGATCTGGATTGGTTACTAGCCCTTCCTCATGATAAATTTTGGTGTCAGGTAATGAATTCTGCTTTCTGGGCCAAGTATATCAGTTTATGTAATTTTGCAAGTATTGTTATATTGGCTTTAAGTACATGCTTCTGTTCACACAGCAAGGCCAGTGATGGCCAGTACATTGCTGAGTAACCATGACTTTGCTTTGTATCTAGATGTACAAACAGGATATGTATTGGGCTCAATGCGCAAGATAATTTTGATGTCTTTGAAAAACATGGCCATGATGAAATATCCAGTTTGGTAGAGAATTTTGACATGTTCATAAAATGATTCCTATGTGGATAGCAGTCAGTTCATTTTACAGTAAGGTTATTTGGTTTTGTTAAATAATTGAGTTAGAATATGATTGTTTTTATTTTCACATAATATTGTGCATAAAGTAACATTTTAAACCATGGAGTTTAGGGAAAGTTGTTTCCACAAAGCCTCACTTGACTTCAGGATTTCACGAATTTTAGTCAAAAAAACCAAATAACTTTATATGTAATGGATTGAAATCTTTAGAAATTTGAGAACCATTTGTGGATCTATGAATATTTACAAATTAATATCTCAATTTCTTGATGTTTTGTATTCAAGCAGTTCACTGTAGTGTAGCTAGCCAGAAAATCCTCATATACTTGCTCTAACCTTTCTACAATTCTAAACTGTTTGAATGAGACTTAATTATGTTTATTCAGAAGGGTGTATTTTAAGTTTTTTTTAATGTAAAACAGTGGGCTGTTAAAATCAATACTTATTTTAAAATTGAAGCTGCTCATATAAGCTTGTCATTACAGGCTGGTACTTCAACAGATGCACTGGAAAACTGCTTAATACCAATATGGTAAATTTTTATATAGCCAGTGAGATGAAACATATATAGCCTGGTACTAATGATGGTACTTCAACAGATGCATGGGAAACTAGCATAATATCAACGGGGTAAATTTATATAGCCAGTGAGATAAAAGATGTATGTTAATATAATTTTTGGAAGGTTCACTTTTATCTTAAAGGAGGATGAATCTAGCTCATTTCTACAGAGGTTACCTTTGAGATAAAAGTGAGAGTTGTTGTGAAACAGTGACCTTGCTCAGAAAGCAAATGGTTGAGGTCCCCTGTGGTGTTTTAATAAGAATTATTCATACAGCGATTTACAATTGGTTGGTAAATATTGAATGCCTGTTCAATTTAGAACAATCAAGATTGATCTTAGTTTAGGAAAACCAGAGACTGAATGTTTTTAAGGCAGGTCAGGGGAAAGTTTTAGTTTGTACAACTTCAAAAATTGATTAGAAATCTGCAGGTTATTAGAAACAGATAAAGTTTGAGCTCTCAGTTTTGAGTAATCAAGTAAGAAGTCACCAGAGTTTAAAGGAAAGAAACTGGGAGAATCAGTCACGTAGAACTTAAAGATTTGGTAAAATGAGAATTTATCTTGACTTGAATCTCTATAAATAGATAGATAGTTTTGGGAAATAATTTGAAAACTCTGTTTTGCTGTGGATTTTAAGATTTTCTGACTGTCTTCTACACCTAGATACTTTTTTCAGTTTTCATCTTTAGTGTAATATGCTTAACTGGTTGACTGCTGTGTTATCTACGATTTAAAAAAAAAAGATCTTGGGACCGATTTCATACTGGGATCTGATTTGTCTAGTGCCATCAGCTGGGATCATAACACCAGTTCCATTACAAATGTGGACGTGGGGATTTGTAATGTGAACATGTTAACAAGAAGTGCAAAGCTTTTTGTGTATTAGAATTCACATTCCTTTCTCTGCTTTTATTTTAGGTTATTTTTGATGAAACTATGCAGAAATGTTTGGACTCTTTCTTGCATTACACACCTCGTCAACATGATGAATTTGTGAACCCAAACCCAGCTGTAGAAGAGGTGCAAAAACATCTTCATCGCAGCATTTTTATGATCTTTCTCAGGATGTCCACCCACAAGGAATCCAAAGTATTGTATTTTTGAATTATCTCCAGTATCTTTGTTTTTCTGTAATTTTTTTTTTAAGTGGAAGGTTGAGTTTGGCCTTATTATCACAACTGAATATAAATGGATATTCTGGTCTGTTTGAGTAAAGTCTTAAGGAAAATCAGCAACAGTATTATGGGGAGGTGATTGAATATAACAATTCAAGATTTTTTTCTAATGTGTGTGTTTTTAGTGTGTTGTGACACAGCCCTGGAGCAGATGAAACTTGAATCCAGGCCTTTTGGTCCAGATGCATGGACACTATCCGTGTGCCACAAGAGCTCTTGGAATAACAGTCCAACGCTCTGATTAATTCTAGAGCCTATACTGACTATTATGCGATTTGAGCTATCATAATATAGCCTATTTACCCACTTGTTTTCTGTTTTGTTTCTTAGATGTTAAGTTGTAGGTCTCTAGTTCCAGGTCAAGAAAGTTACATGTTGAAATGAATTGCAGCTGTATATTTCATTTTGATATTTTGGAGCATGGTATTTCAAATTATGTTTGCTTGAATGCGTGGAAGAACTAGCAAAACTAAATCTAAATTCCAAATGGAATTGGAACTACAGGGAATTAAACAGAAATCTGTTGTACACAGGTACACTTAAGCAACATTATAAAAACTAGGTGGAATCCTTGAAAGATTATCTTCCAAACCTAAACATATTTTCGACAACTTTAGCTGCTTATTTATGTATGAAGCATTTTCCATCCATTTTAAAATGTAGCAGGAGATTAGAATTTAATGGAATGCTTCATCGTTAAATTCTTTAGGATGTTTAATATTAGTACTTGGAAATGATGATTTTGAACAAATTTTGGCATTTGCATGCTTTTTAAAGTTATTTTTGCTATCTGCTTTCAGTGAAGAAATTCTGGAATGATTAATCATTAAAATCAGTTGCCTTAGATAATGAAACAAAATATTTGTGTGAATTCTGAAACTATCTAATGATGCACACAAAGCTCAAGATGTACAGGTTATGAATATACAGCTCTAAAATGCTTTCAAATAATCGTACAACCATATATCACCCTTGTGTTATATCTGTGTAATTGAAAACCTATTGGACCTTAAAAAGCCTTTGGTTTAGTTTCTTATTATCTGATTACATTGTTTAGTCTTCTGCCGTCATATTTAATACCGGAATATTCTCATGTTAACTTTCCATTTGCAAATTTATGAATACCATGTATATGAATATACAACAAAGAAAAGACTAACTCATACATGGACTGTAACCTATCCTGGCATGGTGTAATATTTAAACACTATTAGCTCTACTACAGTTATATCATTTCTTGTGGGAGAGGGGGAAAAAAAGTAAAAACTTAAATTATCCTCAAAGAAGCAAGTTGAAGCAAAAAAGGCAATCAACAAGTTCCCTAGCAGATCACAATTTACAAAAAAAGCCATGTACCTCTTTTTGAGTGCTCTAAACATGCTGGCAACTAGTTCCTGAGGTTTTTGACTCTGTGCAAAATAATTCACAATTTAAAAACCAACTTCTGCACATTTCATAATTTCAAAGTTTATTGGTTAACCAGAGTTCAGGGCAGTCCAATTAATTTGAGATGGTCTGTGTCTTATTAATTCAGTTACATAGGAAAAATGCAATGTAGCACAAATTCAATGCAGTACAATAACACCGTAAAAATTATATCTAAAGTGTTAACTTTGCGGATTTGTCAATCTCACTTGTGTTACCTATCTTAAGGAAAATACTCATCAGTTTTTCATCAGAGTTTCCCTGGTTGCTGCTGGATCCAGGCAACTGATGATTTTTGTTTAGATATTTTTAGTCAACCTGTGATATATCTTTGGATCAAGTGAAACTTGAACCCAAGTGATCTAGTCAAAGGGACATTACCACTATGCCACAAGAGCCCTGATTAGTTCTTGATTTTATATTTTTCTGAGCCTTGATTTTATTTTTTTCTAAGCAACCTGGAGCGGGTGGGAATTGAACCTGGGCCTCCTGACTCAAGAGGTCAGGATACTAGCCCTGATCAGTTCTGTTTATATGTTTTCTTTTTTTTTTAATGTTTTATATCTGGAAGTGATTTCACACAGAGTCGAATGGCTTTTCCCAGCATCAAATCACTTGTGGCAAATAGCAAGTATTAACCAACACCACCATTAAATCACCAATATTTCCAGTTGCTCAATTGACACGCAGAGCCAATTAATGGCAAAGCATCAGTTCCATTTACTTGTGGTTCAGTCATCTTTTGCAGTTAAATCACAAATTCATTAACTTAGTGGGCCACAGAGCCTAAATAACCAGAGTGCTCTAGAAACAGTAAAACAGCACTGCTCATCTACTTTCGATATTGAACCATGAGCTACTTAGTTCTTTGTAAGCAGCTGGAAATCTAGAGGTGCAAGAAGAGCGGCTGTTGTGGGGAGCATGTGTGGATTTAAGTTGTATTAAAACCTCAACTGCTGCTTCTGTGATAGCTTTGTATACCTATCTTAAGTTAAAGGTATTTCCTTTTTCAAGGACCATAACTTCCCCCCACTCTGGTGATTGAAAATGCCCTCAAATGCATCTCTTGCATCTCCCACACTTCTGCCCTCACATCGCCTCACCCAAACAAAGTCAAAAATAAAGACAGAATCCCCCTTGTCCTCACATTATCACCCCACCAACCTCTGCATCCAGCATATCATTCTCTGCCACTTCCGCCACCTACAATCTGACCCCACAACCAAAGAGATATTTCCGTCCCTGCCCCTACCTGCCTCGTAGGGACTGCTCTCTCTGTGACTCCCTCGTCCGCTCCACACTCCCCACCAGTCCTGGCACGTTTCCCTGCAGCCGCAGGAAGTGCTGCACCTGCCCCTACACCTTCCCCCTCACCTCCATTCAAAGCAAAAAACAAACCTTCGACATCAGACTTGGGTTCACCTGCACATCTGTCAACTTGGTCTACTGCATCCGCTGCACCCGATGTGGTCTCCTCCACATTGGTGAGATCTAGCAGAGACTGAGACCGTTTCGTAGAACGTCTGCGCTCTGTATGTGACAAATGACAGCACCTTACGGTCGTGAAACATTTCAACTCCCCATCCCACTCCATGAGTGACATGTCCATCCGAGGCCGCCTCCAGTGCCACAATGACGCCACCTGCAAACTGGAGAAGGAGCAGCATCCATATTCTGCCTCCGGAGCCTACAGCCCAATGGCCTAAACATGGAATTCACTAGTTTCAAAATCTCCCCACCCCAGCCTCACCCCATGACCAAGCAACCCTCCCTCTCATTCCTACCTCCTTGACCTGACACAACCTGTCCATCTTCTCTCCCACCTCACTGACCAATCCCAACCACTGCCTACATGCACTCACCTATCACCATCCCACCTACCTTCCCCAGCCCCAGCCCTCCACACTATTTATTTCTGAGCTCCCCTCCCCCTCCCCATTTCTGAAGAATGGTCCCAACCCGAAACGTGAGCTTTGCTGTTCCTTTGATGCTGCCTGGCTTGCTGTGTTCCTCTAGCTCCACACTTTATCTCTTAAGTGAAATGTACTCTTGCATCGTTGACTGATTTCGTAAATGAAATCATTCCGATTTGAAGTGAAGATGTTTGTCAAGTGGGATGCCATGGAAAAGGTGTGAGCAAAGATCTGGACTGGAAATGCCTTTGTATACGCTCTTTGGAGAGAGGCCACAAACTGCAAATCTCCTTCAAAACCCAAATGCAATCTATTTTTTAAAGTATTCTTGATATAAAGTATATTTTACCATTTGAAATGAAACAAGGCAAGTTATTTGAAGGTTTGGCTCTCATATTAGCCATTCATAGCCAATTTGATGAGATTTAAGGAACTCTAACCCTATATGTACATACCCTAGCAGATTTTTCCATTTTGTAAAGATTTTTGTTTGTGTTATTCTTTGAACAGGAACACTTTATTACTCCTGAAGCTTTTGGAGAAATAATCTATGATGGTTTTCTCTTTGACATCCCAAAGATCTTTGATTTGTGTGTAATATTTGGAAAAGGAAATGCTGCTCTCCTTAAGAAGATGATTGGTTAGTATGAAAACATTTTTTAAAAGATTGGATTAAAAATGATTTTCAGAAAGTTTCCTTTGAACTTTTAATTGTGTTTCTTCTAATACATAGGAAACATTTTTAATCAACAACAAAATTACTTTAATGATCTGAATGAAACGGTGCCCACAATTCTCCAGGTAACAAACTGATTTGTGCATTATAGATATTTTTCGAATCGACCTGTTCAGAGATGTTATTACACACCTCAGGGGCAGGTGGCACTTGAACCGGTGCCTCTTGGTTCAGAGATAGGGACACTTCCACTGCACCACTCTTGATCTGTGTATTATATGTTTGGTTATTTTGCTTTGTGTAGGATGTATCCTTGGAAGGTTTGTGTAGGTTTATAACAAAGGCAACGCAACTGAAGGAAAATAGCTGCAAATATTTGCACCTGCAAGATATCTGAGGGAAATCTTTCATTTTTCTAATAAAGATTGAAATGAGCACAAAGTAAACAATGGCAACAAAAAGAATGCTGGATGATCCAAAGAGCGCTCTGTACTTGTCCCTTTAGAATATTGTGTTTCAATCCAATCCCGATTGAAGGCTGCACCTCCCTGCCAATAATAGAGATCATTTGTTTAATGAAGTAGGATATTTTACTAGGTGCAGTCTGCAGTGTTAAACAATTCCTGTTTATGAACACTTAATGAAACTTGCAAGATATGTAACTAACCATCTAGAAGATGTTTTATCAGCTAAGGCCTACCCTGACAAGTGATGCTGTGAGCGTTGTAATAGTACTGTTCAGTCATTATGTCTCAAGAAATATGGTCGGTCATGGAAGATTTATATGGTCCAGTATTAGCAACCACTAGAGGAAGGGCAAAAGGTTACATTGATTCCATGAGCAGGTATTCCATGGTTTAGGTTTAGGCAGGTTGTTGGGGCAGTGTGGCAAGAACTTTGCTTTAAAGTGACCTATGCTGTACTTTTACCTTGGAACATTTGAGCGCAAAAATAGCAGACCACTCCTCAACACTGAGATCCTTGAAGAGCAGATCATTTACCAAAGTTTGTGTAAATACAACAATGTTGTATGTTTTAAATCAGCTGAATAATACTGTTGAATTTAAAGTTTTAATCCATTTCTCACCTTGTCTTCAAGGTATTTAGTAGTATTTGTGACAAGTGTAACTTAAGGTTGGAAAATCATTCACATTGGCCACAGAAGATTGATGCTCAAACCAAAGTTTCGCTCATGGATATGCCTCTACAGGTGATGCTTAGATTAAGACATTGATTTTTATTTTGTATTATCAATAAAATGCACAATTAACTTTACCTCGGGAAAAGAGAAAACGATATTTTCTTACCAAAGACTCTGATTAATTATATTCATATCAAGCATTATGACATACAGCATCTATTACATTTTCATAAGTTTTTTTTATTAATTTACGACAGAAGGCATAACTTGTCACATTTCCTTGTTTAATGAACAATGTTTTAACTATCAACCAGCTAAAAAAATCAAACACTTTACTCTTCTATTTTGTTGACACCACCGCACAAATCAGTAGTTTTAACTTTATCTGAAGTTTTTAACACTTATTTCTTATTATATACATTGTAATTAACAGTGTCTTGATTCATTCTATCGACAACAGACTTACTACTGTATGTATGGAAGAATTGCTTTGTCGTGAGTGTAGTTTTGTTATGCAGTGATGTACATCTTCCACAAACATGATGGGTTCGTGTTAAATAGCTTTTTAATGTCAATATGAAAGAAGTGAGTTAATCCCAGTTATTTAGTCAGTAAATTAACTAATAAATAAATGTATTCACCAAAATAAATGTTGTTCCTGGTTCTTCCAGCATGTTGACACACTTTTTGGGTGAAGACATTTCTTCTGAATTCCATATTGAATTTCTTGATGACTGTCATGTATTGGGATATAGCCATGGGCATGCAGATGGGATCAGTTTAGAATGGCATCATGGTTGACAGAAGAGCCTGTTCCTGTGGTGTACTGATCTATCTTCGATGTATCATTATCTTTCTGCCATAAATGTTTACCTGACTACTGATACCTGTAAATGATTAGTACTTAGTTTACTAATTGGTGGCATTCTTTTGCGTTAAGCACTGTGTGTTTGTCTGATTTTTAGATTTTCTAAATTAAACACCAAACTTCCTGTACTCACTATTTTATGTGATGATAATAGTTGTGGGAACAGAAATATAATGTCCTACACAAGCATATTCTTGCTTAGAAAACTCTTTTATTTGGAAACTTGCAACTTATTCAAACTTGAGAAACATTCTTAATGTTTCGTTGTATTTTGTGCATGTTAGATTACCATTACACTATATAAATACAAAGTTTTTTTGTTTTTGCAGGAATTTAAGGATATTTTGCTATATCTATGCGATACCTGTACTACGCTTTTTGCGTTCTTGGATATCTTTCCTGAAGCTAGTAGGACAATACAAAAGCATGACTTTATTCATAGGTATGAAAGCACATTATTAAACATGTCATTCCTGGGCTTTTGGTTCAACCTATATTTCATTTAATCTTGGCTCTCTGTTCTAAATTATAACATATTTTCTCTTTCGTTATTCTGAGCTCCGGAACTTTTCCACATCTTTCAAATTGATTATTTTCCATTATTCTGTTTGTATCGTTCTTGAAGCAACAACTTCTGACTGTGTGACAATGTGGGTCAGCTCACTTTGGCTCTTTAATAGTGCTGCTGATGGTTATTACCTTCCCGCTTTCTAGAGGTTGTTTGACAAAAAAAAACTGTCCGAGAAGGCTCCTGTTGTAACTCCAATTATCTTGGCATATTACATCAATGTATTGTGAGATTGGTTGCTGTCAATACTTTTAATCTGTTTAGTTTTAATGCAGCTACAGAATATTTTAACAAGCACACCCAAGCCAAAATGATTTAGAAAAGAAGTTTTAAGTTAAAAATGAGTAAGATTGGCAAAGATAGATATATTGGAATAATTTAGACTGATTCTTCTCCATGAAAACTGTTTCTCTTTATTTCTTGCAGGTTAGCCTCATTTTATGAAGTAATTGTCCCTGAACTAGAAAATGCAATCAAAAACAGACGATTTGATGAAACTAGGTAAAATATATTTCATGAAGGTTTCGTTTTTTTTTTTTTTTTTTTAACTGATTTGAATGTATCCAAACTCATTGATCAATTCTGCTTGACCACTTCAGAAGAAGAATCTCATTCACCAGTTCTCAATTCTTTGTGGAGCTCCATGAAAAACTAACTTAGAACTGCAGAGTTTGACAACAGAGAACTCTGTTCAGCTTGTCCTGCTCACACCAGCAGACTCTGAAATAACTATTCATTTATTCCTATTTGTGATTTTCATCTGGACCATTTTAATTTTTGTCATGTACCTAACTTTAGTTGCTTTAAAAAAGATTCCATTTCCCCCTACAGTTTCTGATGGGGCATTTCATACACTGAATTTTCCTGTGTGTGCCAGGAACCCAAAGCTTGGACCAAATGTGGATCTTGAGGTTTGTCATCAAGGTACCCACCAATGCAACTTTTGTGAGGTGGGTGCCCAGTTGGCAGTCTCCATGTTTTCCATTCACTTAAGCAGTAAAGGTGGATTTGTGAGGTAGAAGGTCTGCAGCATTGGCCAGCTGACAGCGCTATCTAGCAGAGTGGGCAGTGCTGAGGCAGAATGGTGTACATGAGGATGCTGATGATGCCATTCGGCACATGGAGTCTGCATCAACCCTATGAAGAGCATGACCCCACCCCAATCCTCATGGGGGCGGCATGGTGGCTCAGTGGTTAGCACTGCTGCCTCACAGCACCAGGGACCCGGGTTCGATCCCACCCTCAGGCGACTGTCTGTGTGGAGATTGCACATTCTCCCTGTAGCTGCGTGGGTTTTCTCTGGGTGCTCCAGTTTCCTCCCACAGTCCAAAGGTATGCAGGGTAGGTGGATTGGCCATGCTAAATTGCCTGTAGTGTTCAGGGATGTGTAGATTAGGTGGGTTATAGGGATGGGTCTGGGAATGCTGAGTGTCAGTGTGGACTTGTTGGGCTGAAGGGCCTGTTTCTACACTGTAGGGATTCTATGAACTCCGCATTTACCATAGCTGATCCACCTAGCCTGCACAACCCTTGACACTATGGCCAATTCAGCTAAGCTGCACATCTTTCGACTGTGGGAGGAAACCTGAGCACTCGGAGGAAACCCAAGCAGACACGGGACGAACGTGCAAATTCCACGCAGTTATGCAAGGCTGAAATTGAACTCGGGTTCCTGGCATTTTGAGGCAACAGTGTTAACCACTGAGCCACAGTGCTGCGCAATTTTCTTCTGAATATTTAAAATCAAAACCAGGTTCAGAGGAACATTTTGGTCCTAATTGTGTCGTCTTGTTGTGGCTCATTCATTGGGCCAGTTAAGAGGAGGCACCAAAGGCCTTCTGGCTTGCTGCCATGATCCTGTTTCCGAAATTGCTGTTGGCCTTCGGACTTGACTGAGGGCTGGTAAGTTGTCAGGTAAATGCTAGTGGGTTTGGTAAATACCCCTAAGTGGAGCCTAACTGGGGACTGCCTCTGTTGAGCAGACTGCTAATTCCTTTGGCAGTTATTTCATTTGAGGGCAGTTGGAACTGTGGTAAAAAGGGAAATTTATATATAAGTGAATTCCAACCTGGATCCTTAAAACGAAAGTCTAGTATGTTGACCCAGTCTACTACCCAGTTTCTGTCTCAACTTTTGAAATATTTTGACTCTTCGGATTGTTGGAATATTACTGATCAGTAAAAATTCAAAGAGGAGTAGAAATGTTATTGTGTAAAGCAAAACCGGGTGCATGATTAGATAGTCAGAAGGTGTTACAATCCGCCTGACTTTGTCTCCCCCAACTACACTGAAGCTATTAATGTTGTGAATGCATCTTTCTCTTCAGTTTACAGGAAGACTTGTGGAAGAGGCTTTCTCACTCGAGGAAAAAAATGATTGAAACTTTTCATCAAATCATTAACTACATTTGCCTTCAGCCTATCCTAGAAAATGGGTAAGGAAGTGGCAACTCTGAATTTATGTATTTCTGTGGAAAACTACATTGACTTATTCACTGTAGATATTGTAGCAAGCGAACTCGGGCTTGAATTGTGCACATTTTATTTTAAGATTGTGGCTTTGTTTAGAGCTGAATTTACCAAATGCTAGTATGTCTGCTTTGCTTTATCCATAAGTATTTGCAAGCTGCTCTGCTATTCTGTTGTACCCAGATGTCCAGTAATGGGTCATTCATGGTTCAAGTGTTTACAGCTCTCCCTTTGACCTTTATAAGAAAAAGCAGTATTTGGGTGACACTACATACACGGTCACTATGCACTGCTCAAATTTGTGCATGCCTTCATTTATTGGAAGTGGTGCCTTTTCCCCTGTCTCTTTCTTTCTCTGCTTTCTGTCCCCTGTCCTGACCCGCCACCAGTCTTCAGCCCCCAGAACTCCGTTTCAGTAGTGCTTCTTTTCTATGCATGTACAATTCCTTTGCGTGTGGCATCATTGGGATTCTCCATGATGATTGCCATTTCTCGAATTGTGCACGTGTTTCTGGCTTGGCACGTATATGGAGCTGCAAGATGGCTGTCAGCAGGCGTTGGCATAAAATAATTACAATTAAACTAATCTGTGTTTAACTCCAGTTTGTTCAAAGTGAATTTATGTCAGAATTACATATCAACTTCGTCACACTAAACACTTAAGCTATTGTTAGTGAGAATGAAATGGAGCTGAAGAGATCTTTTGAGAATGGGATTAGGACTAAGTGAATAGCTTTGGAGTCTCCTCTCTGAAGCAAATAAGTAGAATTCTATTCCGACCACAATATAAGCATTCAGGGCCTTAAGGTTTCTATGAAGAAAATAAACTCTGGTGAACCTGAAAGCTACCAAAAAGACATTATTGAAATCAGTGACTCATTAACTGGTATTTTAATACTAATCAGATGCTGTGGAACAATGTCAATTTAGATTTTACCACAATGTGCAGAGCAATTGATGAATTATGAGATTTATCAAGTATTTTAAATATTTGAAAAAACTTTCTCTGTTTTACCTATTATTCATAAAAACTTTAGACCAGACTGTTTCGAGTCTCTTCTCGGAGACAATGAGAAAAATGCATTTGTATGGGGTATGTATTCCAACATCTGTAAAGATAAAGACCCCCTGAACCAATTGGTTTTTTGTTTTGGAAAGGGATGAGACAACTGCTTACTGTCACCTTTCCTATAAAATATTTTCACTAATGTGTAAAATAGAATCATAATGGTTGGTATCAAATGGCTGTAGTGTTTTTTCACATGATATTACATCTTGGCAGGCTTGTCTATTGGCTCTTTTGTACTTTACTCATTGATTTCAACAATAGGACATAGTGTTGCCTGGAAATTGGGTATTTGTTGTCCATGGCAAAATAGGATTGGAAATAATCGGGACATATGTCCTAGATTTGTATTTGTATTGGTGCCCTCAGTGGCAGATTTAAATTTGGGTGCACTTCTCTGAGACTGTTGGAAAATGTCACAGAACGCTTTTCCGCCCATCTACAATGGTGACAAAGCTACAGTGTTAAACAGTTAAATTTGAATGTGTATCCCAAATAGGTCTTTCATAGTTCAGAATCTTGGGCATACTATTTTCTCTCAAGTGTGCTAACCTTTTGAGATAAAATAGCGTATTGGGTATCCTAATTTCCTGGTTTGAATATAGTTGAACAAATATCCATTGTTGCCCACATACAGCTAAGGGAATGAAGTAAACCATTATTTGAATGCAGAAAGCTTTAGTTTCTACAGCTGGGTACTAATTAAACCAAATCTATTTTTGTAAATGCATTGGCATTGATTAAATATATATCTGCATTGAGCAGTTACATTTTTAAATTAGAAGTTCCTGGAGCATTTATAAAGATATCACTGAGTATGTTTCAGTTAAAATTTCATTCCAGAAGTTCTGAAATTTGTAATTATTTTGCACTGATACAAAACTTGAAGTGTAGATTAGGAGTTGGGACCTGGCTTCATACCAAAGTTAATCAAAACTCCATGGATTGTGTAATCTGGCTTTGTTTCACTTTCACAATATATGGTGTGTAACTCTTGCCCTTGTTATAAAGCACTTCAGTGGATCCCAAGGCACTTTTTAAAAATTTCATTGAAAATCAAAATATTGCAAATGCCAGAAATCTGAAATAAAGATAGAGAATTCTGGAAATGCTCTGAAAAGATTGCTCGGTATCTACAGAGAGAGAGAGAGAGACAGTTAACGTTTCAGATCAACAACCTTTCATCAGAACTGTTCTTACGAGAGACGATTGACCTGAATATTAACTGCGCTGTTTCCACACATAACATGTGACCATCTGAGCTTTTCCAACATTCTTTGTCTCTTACTTTGTAAACCTAATGTGTCTCAATGTACTTTACAAAATACCTTTTATCTTACTTTCAAGGAGCAATTATGAGTCAACCTTCTTGTACTTTACTTTCTTCTGATCCCTACTCTCAACTTCAATTCTTGCCAGATTTTCACTATGACCATGCCCTTCTAACTCTGAACGATTTTTCCTTTGCCAAATGCCTTTCTGCCCACACATGCATATCTGCAGCTTAACTTCCAGCTCCCGCTTCTGTTCTCTTTTTTTCATCCCAATGTATTCATGAAACTCCTGCTGTCAAATTTGTTCTATGACCATATAATGGAAGGATCTCTGCCTATCTGATGCAGAGCTTAGGGAGCAGCAATTCTTCTTTGTGCATGACAATCCTGTTATGATTGTCAGATCATAAATCAGCAACTCTCACAGCATAACTTTTTTTCTCCTTCTCACAATACACAAACAGGACTGCCCAATATATAAATTTGAGCCTGTTCATATATTCTAGAATAGTTTTCTTTTTCCATAAAAGGAATGATTCTACTTTCCTCCATTTTGAGAACTCCCCTGACATTTGTGACATTGATGATCCTGCCTAAGTCATTTCCTTTTGAAAATGTCAATACGCTTTTGATTTAGACGCTCCTACAACTTTTATGTAATCGCTGTCTGATTCTCCTTTTCCCATTCTGGACTTTTCTCCAAATTATTTTTTAAAATTGCTACTTTTCTTAACTACCAACGTTTGTTTCTTACATAGAATATTCTTTCTGTGTTTCTAATTTGCTCTGATCATTCCCAATGTTTATACCAGAGCTTCTGAATTTACTTGATCAATATCTGTGGTTTTCTTCTACAGGAAATGCTGGGATCCTTACCATGTTCATCCCATTTATCAGTACATCTGCGGTCAACTCTCCACTTCAAGAGAACCCTTTGTCCTCATTCTCTGCCCTCTCTTTGCATTTGCTAAATCATCTTGTGCTATTTTTGTTAGCTAAGATAAGGTCTCAATAATCTGTTAACAACATTTCTTCTCTGCCCCCGGCTTTTCAGAGGGACCATTCTTTCCAGAATGTTCCTGTTCACTCTTCAAGAACCCGTGATTCCTGCATTCCTCTGGCACTTCCTTTGCCATCTTTTCTGCAAAGAAGCATTTAGAACATATTTTCATCCAAGCAGTGCTCAAATCAAGGATCCTAGCATTGCACACCATTGTCCTGGGTACCACCACTTTAGTTTGTATTCATTTGTGTGCTTATCCTAAAATTAAATGTTATGTATTGATCAAGGTGCATGCTCCTGTACAATGGAAAAATGAAATCCAGATTAAGTGTGACTTTGCTGATCAACAGTGTTGTTCCCTATAGCACTTAAGATCTGCACCCTGCGCGCCCCAACCCCTGGAACACCCCAATTACCATGGTGATCTTTGTTTTTGAACCCCTTTATTATTCCAGACTTCAATTCAAGGTATCAGCACCTTAGTTTTGGGTGCACTGAAACTTTATGGTCTGAACTCCTGCCTGATGGGAACATCAGCTGTCTTGTTTAGGAATGTAATCCTTAAATGTCCAGTTATATAGATGCTAACAAAAGGTTTGCACTCCAAATTAACCTTCAAGACCAACCTCCTATTTCCTCAACAATTAACTCTGCTGGTAATCAAGCAGTTATAGCTCAGGTGGTAGCACTTTTGCCTGAGTCCGAAGGTTGTGGATTGAAGTCCCATTCTAGACACATGAGAACAAAATCTAGGCCGACAGGTATAATACTAACAAAGCCTATCCCAATGGTAGGCACAAAAGATCTATTTGCACTATTTAAAGAAAACGCAAGGAAGTCATCACAAGTTGACAGCATCAGACGTCAGTGGAATTTGCACTTCTGTGTTTTCTTTTACAATTGCAAGGCAATAGATCTTTACAGCAAACAACTTTTAAATGTTGTCATTGTGTGAATGTAGGAAACACACAAAACAAACAATGATATAACTGATCATCTGTTTTAAAGATGTTGTTTAGCAATATATATTGGCCAGAGAACTTGTGATGATTTCCTTGCTGCTTCTTTAAATAGTGAAAATAGATCTTTTAAGCCTAATTGCAGGGGTTGACTTTTAGTACTGTGTTGGAGGGTCAGCCTAGATTTTGTGCTTATGTCTCTGGAATGGGACTTCAATCCACAATCATTTTTAATACAATCCGCAACCTTATGACTCGGGCAAAATGCTACCACCTGGGCTATAATTCCTTTGTTACAACACTGTTAATTCTAGAGGAAGTGCGGGGTAAGTCTTGAAGGTACGTTTGAAGTGCAAACCTTTTGTTAGCATCTATATAGCTGGATATTCAAGCATCACATTCCTAAAGAATTTCAGCTGATGTTCCCATCAGGCATAAGTCAAGTAATGAACTCAATAATACTTGCACGTGAATTGAGCTTTTGATCTTGAAGCATTTTATAGGCAACCAGGAACCATGTGTACATTAAGCATTTTAAGTAACTTCAATTTAAATTGATTGTAGTATGTTTTATGATCTATGCAGTTATTTCAAACTGTAATAAGACATTGATGCAAACGTACAGGGATCAATGACTTAGCCCTTTGAGCCAGTTCACCATTCAGAATGATCTGTGACCAATATACTTGCCTTTACCTCATGTACCTCAGTTGCTCTAAATAACAGAAATATTATCAAGTCTCTGGTTTGAAATTAACAATTGTTCAGGGGTCAACTATGTATGGAAGAGGGTTCTAGATGGCTATCAGCCTTTTGTGTATTGAAGTGTTTCTTAACTTAAAACTTGAAAGGCCTGCTTGTATTTGTTAAACTGTCCCCTAATCCTAGACTTCCAACCAGCAGGAGTTGTTTCTCTCCACTCATTGTCCTGCCATACTATCTTAAATATTGATGAAATCACCTTTCAACCTTCTAAATTCCAAGGAATACAACCCTAGATTTTGTCAAATCTCTTAAAATCCTCTCAAGATTAAATTTATCTAGTATTATATATGAATCAAACGATTCTGCTTTATATAAGAAAATTCATTTATAGGTAATGGCTTTAAAGAAATAATTTGTCATGAAAATTTTTCTCATAACAAGACCTTTCCACTATTTTCTGTTATGTAGATCTGAACATATTCTGCCTTTCATAGAAGATTTCCTTCAGATCTTTACAGCTCTGCTACACCAGAAGCGGTAAGGGCACAGTCAAGGACGAGAAAGTTTAGAGAATATCATCAACAGAGTTTTTATATGTTGCATCCAATATGTGCCCTGTATTTAGAACAGTAACCACAACTCTTTATTTACATACTTTTGCCAATGTAGTATAATTTAAAGACGGCAGGGCTGAAATGATATTTTAATCCAGGATAGAGAGATGGAAAGGTTTACAGAGGAAATTGCAGAGCTTGGAACCTAGATGACTAAAAGTACTGCATCAACGGTGGGCTAGGTGGGGGTTGCAAATGGGATCAGAGTTAAAGGGACACAGAGCTATTGGTGAGTTTCAGGGCCAGTGACAGTTACGGACGTAGAAAGGAGCGAGGTCACAGTATTCTGAATCCTGGGATGAAAATGTGAAATAAAAGTTGTTGGCAAATTAGGAACAAATAAAGATCAATGAGCAGAGTGATAATGGGTGAACAAGACTTGATGTAGATTGGTGACTGACCGAGACAATGGAGTTTTAGATGAACAGAGCTTTGTAGACAGGGAAAATGGATCCAGTGAAGAAACTGTCACTTTCAGAATTATTTTGACAAACGTGATTAGAGCCTTGGCAGTGAAAGACCTGAGGTAGGGGCAAAAATGCATGATGTTACATAGATGGAAGTGAATAATGTATTTGAGGAAGAAATTGTTGTTAAAGCTCAGTTTAGACGTTCAAATGCACAGGTCGAAAAATTGATGCTGTTGATAAAAATAAGTTACTGGAAATGTGAAATGAACATGGAAAATTTTGGAACCACTCAGCAGATAAGACATCTGTAGTGAGATGATGATGTTTCTGATGAACAGCTTATGAAAAAAACATAGCCAGAGGGGAAAATGGGGAGAAAAAAATAGCCTGCGTTGGGCCTTTATTCACAGAAGACAGCTGAATACTGTATGTGATAGAAGTGATAATGTTGCCAGACCACGGGGGGTTGGGGGTGGGGGGAGTGGTGGGGGTAGTTGTTAAAGTCAATCTTGAAGTGACACTGGTAAAAGGAAGAGGCTAAGAGCGGAGATGTCCAATTAACTTTGTATGAGCTGAATAAGTTAACAAAATATATTTTCTTGTTTTATTACTGTTAACACATTGGTTTACGGGGAAGATGTGATTTTCTACAAGTTGTCTTGTGTGGTTGTTAACTGTTTATCATCTTTCCTTTTATAGCTACACCTTTCTGACACCTAATGTATGAGAAAAATATGTATCTGAGTTACTGGAACAAATAGACAATCTGAGAAAATCTGTGTTCATAAAATTGCCTTTACACAATATTACTACATCTAAAACTATAAGGAAATTTCAATGATACTCGATGATTCTGAAACGCTAATGATTCACTTCTTATCTATTTATCTAAACTGGCACAATCTCGGACGACAGAATTTCCTAATACTCAACTCGATAAATAAATCCTTAATAGCTATCAGTTTTGTCACCAGTCATTTTCCTTTTGTGAATGGCCTAAAGGATCAATATCAGGAGTACATTTTATATTGACATCCTATGCCACCTATTTCAAGAACAAAAACTTAAACACATTGTAATTTTTAGCTAGTATATCATAGAACACTTAGTGTGGAAATAGGCCATTCGGCCAACAAGTCCACGCCAACCCTGCAAAGAGCATCCCACCCAGACCCATCCCCCACCCTATATTTTCCATTGCTAACACACCTAACCTACACATCCCTGGACACTATGGGAAAATTCTGCACGGTCAATCCACCTACCTTGCAAATTTTTTGACGGTGGGAGGAAACCCGCGCAGAGATGGAGAAAACTGATCCTGGTCCCAGGTTGAATATAATTCAGTGCTGTAATCTTCCGCCCTCTGCCGATCAGTGACTGAACTGCAATGATTGCTATGATGATGAAGTGCATCCCTGATATTTTTTTGTTTACTGTGTTGAATCTGCAGCTGCAGGAGGCAGTTGTATAAATCTGAGCGAGAAACTGCAAGGCAAAAAGTAAATTTTTGCAGCTTATGAACATAGTATGCATGTTTAAGCCAACACATGATCCAAATTACTTCAACAAATTGAGGAGGAAGCATTCTTAACCCCTAAAAATGCAATTATTTTCAGAATTGTTCATGGAAGTTGTCCTCTTTACTTGCCACTCGTTTCTCCATCTCAAAATACAATTTTGGGTATAATCATTACAAATGATTCAGGTCAATTATTTATGTTTAAGATTGTAAATGCTGTGGTTGTGCACAAAAACAGTATTATTAAATCTCACTTCAAAAATGTGTTCTATATGAAATCTCACTATTCTCTACATAGGTTTCTGATGGATTATGATGAGCAATTTCCAGTGGTTGATGATATCAGCCTTCTACAACAGGCATTTCCTGCACTGTATCCTTCGCTGTTTGGTTTGGGAGTTCATGACAGCTAAAATTGGAATTTTGGGCCTTGGTTAGGATTGGAGGAAGAAAATAGAATACTTTATGATTTTGTTATAAATGTGGCATGAAAGCACATTCTTTGTGGTCCTTTTAAAATATTTAGATAACTTAATCTATAAATGTAAGTTTACAAATTAATTTCAGTGGGGTGATGAATTTTTCCAGTAATGTTTTGATTTTTTTTCTATGATTGGATAAACATGTTTTCCACTCAGATACCATGATAGAAATTACTTGACTATGGTGACTAAATGCAGGTGTTGTGCAGTTTGGTGAATTGTTATTTTTATTTGCTTTAAAAACTATATTACTACTTTTTGAGAAAAAAATATTGAGTACAGGTATTAGAAAAGTACAACGGTACAGACATGTTCAAAGCATATAAGCTCTAGACCTCAAACCAACATTTCCTTTGTTACATACACA